GTCAAATATGTAAGGAAGAAATACACGTATTCTTTAAGAATATAGAGAAAGCAGGAACACTTTCTAATTCATTTTTATGAGGCTAGTGTTTTGCTGTTGCAGGAAAAGAAAACTATAAATTAATATCCCTCAAGGAAAATGGACATAAAAATGTTTAGCAAGATACTAAATCAAATTCAAGGGTTTTTTTCCTTGGCTGCAGCTGCATTAGAGCAGAGTACAAGCTGCAGTGGCAGCAGTCATGGCAAGATAAGCATTTAGAAAGTTTATTCCACTCTTTTGAGTATTGGATGAAAGGAGTGCAGTCAAAAGTGCAAGCAAAGGAGCCATTATGCTTCCAGAAAAATCACAGGGAAAAGTATCACAAGCAAAGTGGTAGTTGTTGGATCAGGCTCTGTTAAGCCAGTTAGCATTAAAGTTGGAGATAAAGGTCTAGTTCCAGAATCTGGAGGCATCAAAATAGTTCTAATAGGATTATTTCTTATTTAGAGATGGTGACATTCTTGGATAGTATGTGGGCTGAAATCACTATTGACATGGCATCAACATAAACCTGGCCATTCGACTGAAGTTCTCAAATCTTTTGTCATTTAAACAAATTTCAGTGGCTCTTTTATAATAAACTAATTATATCTAAACTAAAAAAAATCAAATTCATCTATACACATATATGTATGTATGAAGAGTGAGAAGAGAGATCATATATCATGACCAAGTAGGGTTTATCCCAAGAACATGAAGTGCTTCAACATTTGAAAATTAATCAGTGTAATACACTGTATTAACAGAATAAAGGGCAAAATGCTGTGTTCATCTTAATAAATCCAGAGAAGGCATTTGAAAGAATTTAATTTCAGTTCATACTAAACAAAACTGCCAGCCTATTAGAAATAGAAGGGAACCTTTTCAACCTGATAATATATAAAACTACAACTAGCATTATACTTAATAGTGTAAGACAGTGCTCTTCTTCTAAAATTGGGAATGAGGCAAGGATGTCCAGTCTCATTACTTCTAGTCAACATTGTACAGAAAGTCTTAGCCAGTTCAGTAAAGCTAGAAAAAGAAATAAAAGGCATGTAGATCGGAAAGTAAGAAAACTGTGTTTGTAAAAACTACTAAAGAACTTAGGAAGACTGCAAGTTATAAGATCAACATACCAAAATCAGATGTATTTCTGTATACTATCAATGATTAATTGGAACATAAAAATTTTGAAGTGTTATTTACAAGTCCATGAAAAATTGTGAAGTACTTAGGGATAAATGTATCAAAATATGTATAAGACCATTGCACTGAAAACTATAGAATGCTGCTGAGAGAAATTAAAGAAGATTCAAATAGATGCAGAGGTACCATGATGTTATGGTTGAGATGACTCAAAATTGTTAAAATGTGAATTCTTCCCAAATAAGTACCTGATTTCAAGAATTGTCATAAAGCTAGAATCAAGACAGCATGATAATGGCAAATGATAGATATGTAGATTAATCAAACAGACTAGAGTTGGATTGCCTGGGGCTGGGAATTTTGTAGGGAAGACTAATTTCAAAAGGGCAGTAGGAACTTTTTGGGATGATGGAAATGTTCTATGTCTTCATTTTTGAGTTGGTTATATAGCTGTATACCTTTGTCAAAACTCATCAAACTCTGTATTTATGTGGGTGGATTTTAAGATATTTAAAGTATACCCACACAAAGATGATTTTTAAAAAAATATCTATATTTCTCAGGTAGTTTTTCTGACAGGTTCTTCTAATTTTGAGGTGGGAATATATGAATTTTTAAAAACCCTCTTCCTCATGTTCTATCTTTTGGAAAATGACTAATACATAATAGACATTTGGTAGTATTCAATATATTATTCAGGAAAATATTGTAAGATTTATACAAGCAATGTATTTTGAATTCTTATTTTTATATTAAGATTTCTGGAAACTCTGAAATCTTATTTTTTTATGCAGAGAATATTTCTTCAGATTTATGTGTTCCATGCATTAGAATTTCTTCGTTTCTTGTTGGCTTTTCTTAAATTATGGCCATATTACTGCTTATATACATTCTCCATTTTCAGGTTATTTGTCACATCTTTAGATATAACCTTTTTCTGGTCATCTAAGTGAGTAATTCTTAGATTTTGAGATTTGACATAATATTGTTTTCAATTATTAATTGGCAATGTCTTAATTTTGCCAAATAAGGACATCAAGAGCAAAAAATCACTATGATTTACAATCTTTTTTTAAAAGAAAATATAGGGTCCCATTCTGTCAATGAGACTGGAGTACAATGTTGTGATCATAGCTCACTGCAGCCTCCAATTCCTGGATTCAAGCTGTCCTCCCACCTCAACCTCCAAAGTAGTTGGGAGTACAGGCTTGTGTCACCTTGCCAGGCTAATTCTTAAATTTTTTGTAGAGATGGGGTCTTGCCATGTTGCCTAGGCTGGTCTCAAACTCGTGGCCTCAAGCAATCCTTCTGCCTCAGCCTCCCAAAGTGCTGGCATTACAGGCATGAGCCACATTACTTTGACACCAAAAAAGTAGAAAGAATATAATTTCCAAGTAAAACAGTCCTTCTTAAGAAAAGCTAGACATATATTATTGATCACTGTATATGAGACATGGTGCTAAGCATTTATAATATATTGAAAATTAAACTAATTTAACTTTCAAAATATCCCTGTTATACTAATTTTACAGGAGAAAAATCTGAAGCTCAGTCATATCAAGTAACTGGCTCAGAATAGGATGTCTAATTTCATAGCTCCAGCTCTTAGCATAGCCCAGTCACTTTTGTAATACAGAACAATTAACAGCCTCAAATGGTGATTTATAATTGCACATTTCCTAGTAAAAGTTTGTCATGTTAGGTTATTATTTGACTGTGTAACACAAATGAGAACTCAGATAACTTGTTTTGGTATTCACATTTTCTCAAAAACATAGTTAAAGAAACAGCCTTCTCAAAGTTCTTTCATCCTTTTTGGAATATTCTAGATAAACTGATAGGAGCCTCCTGCCTTTATGATGTTTCTCCTGTCTTTTAGGACCTTGTGCTGATTGAGAAAGGCCTTGTTTGTGGTATTACTGTGTTTAGCCTCTCTATACCTACAGGAAAGGTGCAAAAAGGCACTCATGCCCTGCTCAACTTCCACTCCTATCCAGAACATTGATGTTTGGTGTTCTGCTTTAGTGTCAGCATTATCATTTGTCATTGTTAACAAACCATCTAAGCCTGCTGTAATTAGAAAATTTACAGTGTTAGTGTCAAGTTATTCACTTTATTCCTAGGAGTGGCAGGGCACTTTGAGTTTTTTGTGGTTAAAAAAAGAAATTACCTTTACATTTTAGTTAGGATATTTATGAGACTCAAATGAGGCAATGTAAGTGAAAACAGTTTGAGAACTAAAAACTAAAGGTCATTTTAGGTTTTTGGAAGGCTGTCTGGGTTTTTAGAGCAGGATTATGACATGATACGCTATTTTAGTTAGGTTGATGTGATACTTGATTCTAGGGCTGTGAGGGGCAGGGGGAATCGTGAGACTAGAAGAAGTGAGAACAGAAGGGGACAAGATCAAAGGTTAGTTTGGTGATGCTGAGAGTGAAGTTGAAAGAACATAATCTGTAGTTCATTTGGAGGGAAAAAACTATTTCTTGGTGATTGATGAGATAGATGAAGAGAGATGAAACCCTTTGCCTCCCAATTTAATTCATCCAATAAATGCTTGAGTCCCTATTTTATTTTCCATAATCTGACCTAGGCCTTTGCTACATAAAGGCACACAAACCTGTATGGACCTCTAGGAATTGATAGTTCTTTGGATCTAGGTAGGATGCTCCCTGCATTCATGAACAGAGAATATGGGAGCAAGTGCTGGTTTGGTTATTAAGTCAATCTATTTAACTGTAAACAAGTTGAATTCTATGCCACAGATACATGTTCAAAATATTGTCACATTAATTTTTATTTGGTCCTCATGAAATTTGTTTATTTAGTATCACAGATATTTGTAGTTTCATTAGTGTTAGAAAAATTATACTTTTAGGTATTTGGAAAGATATTTTTCTCTGATTAGTGGCAAATATGAAATATGATATTTAGTATTAAAACACATTATAATGAAACTTTTGGCTTTTTAAAATAATTTGCATTCAGTTTTACATGGTTTTATTTCTGGAAGAAAAACATTTCTGAATCTTACCTATATAAACTTATAGACTTGTCAATTCAAGTTATTGTGAGTGTTAAAATAATAGGATTTAAATAAAATTAGCTGTCTGCTGGGATAATGAATTTCTTTATTTTACAGTGGTGGTTCTTAAACTTCCAGGTAAATCAGAATCACCTTGGAGGGCTTATTAAAGCAGATTTCTGGGTTCCACCCCTGGAGCTTGTGCTTCAGTAGGTCTGGGGAAGGGTTGGAAATTTGCATTTTCAAAAACATAGTGCTTATATTAAGAACTACTGTAACAAGAAGAAGATTATCATAGGAAACCACAATTTAGCTTCTAAAACATAGATTAATAAAGGCTAATGCCTGAGAGATAAACTTAATTTTTATAAACATACAGTTCAAATCCATATCTCCTTAGGATGTAATAAATTTAGAATTTCTATCATAGCCTTTCCTAAAACTTAGTTTAGTTTTCCTAAAACCTAAAAATACATTAAAGACATTATAAATATTGTCCTCTATTCATAAGAAAAGGTTGAATACTTAGAGAGGTATTTAAAATAATATAATTCATTTACCCTCATACTTTTCCTTGAAGTTAAAAACCAGACTTCAATTTTAAAGCATTTAATACCCACAGTGAAAAACCAAAAACTCCATTCATTGAAAGGTGGTTGATTTTGTTTCCTACCCTCCTTTTTCCCCCTTCCCTGATCAGTCCCATGATTCCCTCAATTTCAAACCCAAAATGTGACAATATGGTTAATGTAGTGTGTCAACCCAAATTAATTTCAGTAATTAAAAAAAATCTTATGTTTTTTAGCTAATGGGAATGACAACAAGAAATTTAAAGGAGATAGACCTCCCTGTTCGCCTTCTCGTGTTCTCCATCTTCGCAAAATTCCATGTGATGTCACCGAAGCAGAGGTCATATCATTAGGTCTACCATTTGGCAAAGTAACTAATCTTTTGATGTTGAAAGGAAAAAGCCAGGTATGTAATATTTAGATTGGCACAGGGTGATTATCTCTAGGTGTTAGTGTTATAGACAATTTTCATTTTCTTGAACTTTTGTGTATTTTCTAAATTTCATTCTATGAACATAAGTTAATTTTAAAAGTAGTAGTGGGTTGGTTTTTTTTTTTAATAACACGAGGCAACAAACAAGTCTTAATACAAGAAGCAGATTTATCTCTTGACTTTCGGTCTTTTCCCTCCTTAACAAGAAACATTTTATATTTTATTTTACTTCTTAGTTATTTTTATTTTATTTATATTTTATATTATAGGATGATTTATGAGATATCCTACGATTATCAGAAGACCCTATTAGAGAGAGAGGATATAAATTATACCTCATTTGGCAGGTTAAACAACAGTCAAGTTTTCCAAAATCTAGATAGAAATGTACGGTATTGTCAAAAGACAAAATTACAACACATTTAAAGATAACTTAATTGGCTTTCATTTGTGATTCTATAAAACAGAACACATGTTCCACTGAACATGGCAAAATGGGTGGTTTTTATAAAAACAAGGAAACACAGCTATAAAAAAAGTGAATTGGTCGACATCATTGTACTTATAAAGATTAAAGCAAAGAGAACTTCCTTATTACATTGATTGAGGTAGACTGGCTACTTTCTGACTGGTTACTGTGAATCTCCTGTTTTCAGGAGAAACTGGTTTGTTTGGGGATTTAGCATCAGTGGCTCCATTTTGGTTTGGAGTGGTCTGCAGGGACCTAGTACAGGAGGCTGGTCCAAAACAGTGACCTCCCTGAAGTTTTTTTTAACAGTATATTTTAGTTATAGGATTAACATGTAGCTTCTTTAATAATTTGAAAGAGACTGTGAGAGAATCTTCAAAGTTACCCGGTTTTTATTAAGATAAATAGGGAAATTTGTTTCTGTGATGATCATGACAAAAAATACAATGCTTGTCATGTTGATTTGAATAATCTAATCATATACCCCCTTGTTCCAACTTAGACCCCACTGGGAAGAATTTTTTAGTTCTTTCCAACTTTTTGGTTGTCCTAAAAATCTTTTATACTGAGCACTATTGTAAAGAAAAGGACAACAGATGTAGGCCGTAGAAATTTTGTTGTACATTATATAAGTATGTTTCTTCTACTTTTGCTAAATAATAAGTTTAAGAAACACATTACAAATACATTTATAACATAAATAAATAAGCATTGGACATGAAATAGATTGGATGGTGTCTGATTTAGTCTCCTGTCTTTAGTAAACTAATTAATATCCTCATTTAATTCAGATGAGGTTACTAAGATCTGGAGAAGTTAAATAACATGCTTTAGTGTTCAGACCTTGTGTTTACACATTTATCTTATATATGTTGGAGATAGTGCATACCTGCCACTTAGATCCTTAACACAGTTGCTACTTTCGAGAATAGTATGGTTTGTGTGATTTGAACAAAGCCAATATGGCTATGTCTAATGCCTAATTGCCTGAGGCAGCAGGTAATGCCACAATTTTCTTTGCCTCTGCTATTGATTCTGAATTTATTTTATATTTAAGCTAACAGTATTGTTATGTTAATTCACTGTCCTTTGATCATAAATCCTGGTTAGAAAATATCTCTTCAGTAATATACTTCAGCAAGAGATTCTGATGTGAATCACTAGAACTACTTGCAAGCGATAACCTTTCCCAGGGCATGTGGAGGTGGAGTGTCGGCATGGTGGAGATTATTTTTACTTTTGGTTGTCTCTCTACTCCACATTATGATAATTGAACCCTTTGACAAATACTTGGAAAAACATAAGTGATTCCTTTACTGGACCCCATATGGAAAAATCTATTTTTACCCATGAAATTTTAGGTTCTGTGTACTTTCAGAAAAAAAAACTTCCTCTGACAAGAATCATGTATTCCAAAGATATTGTTTAGCCTTTTCTTTATGTGACTAATGTTAGAAATTGAGTTCGTTCTTAACATTCAGCAAGGGATTTGCAGAAATAAGCTGTCTCCATTTTAGTCTCCAGTTTGTCTCCAATATTATTAGAATAATGTTCACAAATTCTTTGTTGAAAGATGATTAAAAAACAGAAACTGTTTCCATAGCTGTTTTTCTCCCCTTGGTCATTTTTATGGTATTATCTTAAAAAATTTGAAGAAGTATATTACTGATATATTTGGACAGTGGCTTTAAAGTACATCATGGACATTTATACCTCTTAGATAGTATAAGAATCTCCCTTAAAGATAGTAGAATTTTATTTATTTACTTTTGGAATTTTGTTTATTGTGGATTGAATGATTTTTGATATTTAACCCACTGTGATGTGGCTAACATCACTATTTCGTAGAATTATAGTTAGCTCAGTTGGAGTGTTAATTGATTCAGTTGTTATATTTGGTTGATACAGTTGTACATCATTTTTAACATTTGTCGGGTTAATACTGCTTTGCTAGACTTCATGTGGAAACATTTCACAAGTAAGGTAACTGTAAACAAAGAAATAATTTGATTTGTAGATATTTGCCACTTCCTGTGTTCAATAACTTCTGTTAATAAATGCATATTTTAGAAATAAATTATATATGTTTTATACATAAATTGAAGTAATTGATTTATGCTTCCTAATAAATGCTCTTTTGGCTGAGTCCAATCACATATGCCTGTAGTCCCAGCTATTTAGGAGGCTGAGGTGGGAGGATTGCTTGAGCCCAGGAGTTCTGGGCTGTAGTACATCATGTTGATCAAGTGTTCGCATTAAGTTTGGCATCAGTATGGTGACCTCCTCAGAGTAGGGGACCACTAGGTTGCCTAAGGAGGCTTAAGTCCCAAATAGAGCAGGTTAAAAAAATTCCTATGCTGATCAGTAGTGGGAGATCTGCCTGTGAATACCCACTGTGCTCCAGCCTGGTAGCATAGTGAGACTCCATCTCTTAAAAAAAAATAAATAAAATGCTCTTTTATAGTAAAGAAAAAGTGGATTGTTTAACTAGAAATTTGTGTGAATTTGTATCAAGGATGGTTCCTGCATTTTAAATTTGAGATTATCAAATTTAAATTTGATAATTCTGAATTTGATTAAATTTGGTAGTTCTGAGAGCTCAGAATGGTTAGTAATGTCTACATTTTATCTTCCTAACCAACTATTAAGTTGGGGGACAAAATCTACCACCTTAAAGCTCTATAAATAACCTATTATAAGCAGAAGCCATATATATAATAAGATATAAATATCAAGGAGCTTCTTCAATCTCAGCTTTTCCTATGTCATTCTTCAGATATCTAATGTTAGTACAGTGATTACAGATCAAAAGTCACTTGAATGACTCAAATCAATATTGACTTACTGTGGGAAGTTCTCCTATTTCCATAATTTGAATAATTGACTCTTTGCACCTTATTTTTAAAAATACTCTGTTTATGAAGGATTAGAAGCTATTTTATTTTCTAATACAAGTTGAATGAATATCCCTAATGTGAAAATGGACATGTTCCAAAATCCAAAACTTTTTGAGCTCCAACATGATGCTCAGAGGAAATACTCGTTGGAGCATTTCAGATTTTCAAATTAGGAATGCTTAACCGTAAGTATTTTAGGCAAATATTCCAAAATCTGAAATCCAAAACACGTCTGTTCCCAAACATTTTTTTGTTGTTGTTATGGCTTTTTTGTATCTTTTAAATATATGTAATTTATTATACATACATTATTTATCAATAAATTTTATAAGAAAAAAATAGTAAGGCTTTTTCGTATCATTCTTCATAGCTGAAATTTATTTCTCATTCAGTAACAGTTTTAATTCAGTGGTCCTGGTTTTGCCTTCTGAAACCATGCCTGATTTTTGGTTCTTCTGAAGATGCTTGCTTGCATGAATAGTTGTTGAATTTGGTGTTTCATATGGAGTGACAATTGTTCAAAATTTCTGTTTGGCCATCTTGTTCTGTACCCTGTCTCCCCAAACATTCCTCCCCCTAGAGTCTCACTCTGTCGCCCTGAGTAGAGTGCAGTGATGGCATTGTAGCTCAGTGCAACTTCACACTCCTGGGCTCAAGTGATCCTCTTGCCTCAGCCTCCCGAGTAGCTGAGACTATAGGCACTTGCCACCACTTGTGCCACCATGCCTGGCTAATTTTTTTTCCCTCTATTTTTAGTAGAGACAGGGTCTTGCTATTGCTCAGGCTGGTCTCCAACTCCTGAGCTCAAGCAGTCCTCCTGCCTCAGCCTCCCAGAGTGCTAGGATTGCAGGTGTGAGCCACCACACGCAGCCTCATTTTTTGATGAGAGATACTCAACCTGTACCTCCAAATTATATGTGAAATGTGATATATATGTGTACATAAGTATTTTAAAGAAAGCCTTAACACTTAAAAATGATTCTGAGCCCTAGGAACACTAGGTAAAGCCCTGTGAATTTGAGAGTTGGGGATGAGTGGTGGTAGTGGTAGTGGGTGATGTGGTGAGAAGATGACTGTTAGAAAAATTTTAAAGGGCATATGGAGTGGGGAGAGTTCTCAGTACCTTAACATAATGCTGTCTTGCCAATGCTGCAGGCCTGATTTCCCATCATTTTAAACTGGAATTTCAAATGCCTCTTTAAGAAATGCTCAAGAATGTAATTCTTATGTTAGAGAACCTTTAAAACATTAAAAATGTTTCACATGTTTGTTAAAAATTCAAAAGTTTAGAATTATTTAAAGCAAAATGTGATATTCCCCAGATGCCACTCTTTTCTGGTCATAGTTTAGTGTGATCCCATACATACAAATATTTGTGACATATAGATGCAGATATAGTGTTTATGCTTGTGCACCTGTATGTGTATGTATAAAATAGGAAATACCTTTATATTTTTACATGTAACTTTTCTTCAAGGTGTAACATGGTTATTGATTGGAAGCTTATTTGAAAAGTTGAGTATAGTAAAGGATTTGGAATTGGAAAATTGCTGCTCACTTAACTGATTTTATATAGTTCTTGGTTTTTTCCTCTTCTGTTTCTTCTAAAATCTAGAAGTAGTTAAAAAGGCAACTCTAAATGTGGGCACCACCATTTTAAATGATGTTTTCAGAGGCTGTGATTTAATAGTTCTATTCTTAAAAATCCCAAACAGTCCACCTAACAGGAACTCTACCTAAAAATCATTGCATGTTAGAGGTACAAGGAGACTTAAAGATCATATTAGGCAACACTTCATGTTTTAGATGGGGAAACCAAGGCTCAGAGGTGTTAATGACCAAGGTGTCATCGCTAGGAATAGGTTTTAATCAAGTTCCTTTTCTACCATATCACAACAGTTCTCATTCTTTGCTATCAAATATGTTGGCAAAGCATGAGGTAATACAACTCCTACTGAAAAGAAAATGAATGCTTTAGTTAATTTGTTTCATAAATGGCTGTTTTTAAAAAAAGTAAGGGAGAACAAATCATTATGCCCCATCTCTGTTTAAGGATCAAGGTAGTAGACTGGCACAGTGGCTCAGGCCTGTACTATAATCCTAGCACTTTGGGAGGCTAAGGCAGGAGGACTGCTTGAGGCCAGGAGTTAAAGATCAACCTGGGCAACATAATGAGACCCTGTCTCTACAAAAAATAAAATTAAAAAATTAGGTGGGCTTGATGGCATGTGCCTCCAGTCCCAGCTACTCAGGAGACTGAGGCAGGAGGATCACTTGAGCCCAGGTGTTCAGCAGTGAGCTATGATCATGTCACTGCACTCCAGCTTGGGTGACAGAGACTCTGTCTCAAAAAAAAAAGAACAAGAAAAAAAGAATCTGGGTAGTTAAGTGTTTCTCAACCATTTTCCCCCTTTATTTTTCATCTACTTTTTGTTCCCCTAAGGAGGCTTTTTAGACATTTTTTACCCTTCCAATTGCCCCCATGAAATTTTAGTATCTCTGTTTATGTATTGTAGCCCTTTAGACCCAAGTTTCTTAATCAAAAAAACTATTAAATCCTGGCCTCTGAAGGCATCCATTTACAGTGATGAGGCATATATTTATTTTAGTCTTTTTAATTATTTCTAGATTTTAGAAGAAACAAAAGGAAAACCAAAAGCCACATAAAATCATTTAATCAACTGGAAGTTTCCCAATCTCAAATTCTTTATTGAACCTAACTTTTCAAATATGTATTTAATTAACATCCATGATATATTAATACTTCCAAGCAAAAATTTTTTCATTCCCTTGGGAGTAATTATTATCATTTCTGTAGAGAATGCATGAGTTTAGAGTAAGCTATAATAACAAAATAGTTCTTAACTATCTTTTAAAAAAGATGAGCTTTCACTTTACCTTCTTGTGTTTATTACAGGCTTTCTTAGAAATGGCTTCTGAGGAAGCTGCTGTTACTATGGTGAATTATTACACTCCTTTTACTCCTCACCTTCGAAGCCAGCCTGTTTATATTCAGTATTCCAATCACAGAGAACTTAAGACTGACAATCTACCTAATCAAGCTGTAAGTATTAAAGGTGTTTTTAAAAATACCTTTTAAAGAACGCATGGTATAATAACTTAAAATTAATTTTCTATACTTTACAGATGAAGAAAAATCACGTGCTTTTCTTTGTTTTAGTATACTTTACTAGTCAGAATTGCCTATGTAGAGTCTTCTCCCAAGGCTTAAGAATAAGAAAGAAAGCAGGGCCATTTAGAAACATATTTGAAGTTAATTTTTTCCCTTGAAGTTGTTTTCACAATAAAAAATAAAAACATATATTGTTACATACCTCTTAAAATCTCAGATCGAAAAGGAACTTTTAGAAGTCATTCATTTCAATACTTTCTTTTTATACAATATATAACAAAGGTATTGAGAGGTTGACCAGATGATCATATTGTGATGTTAAGTAATCAAACTTAAGATGTTAACAGGAATTTGTTTAGAATTGTTGATTAAGTGATTTTTGACTCCTCAAGATGAATGTGGAATGTAGTGTAGCAACATTTCTTACCACATTTTCGTTATTATTTTTATATAGTTCATGTTGAGTCTTCTGTGTCTTTCCAGGTTCATTGTTCAATAATTAAGAATAGTAATTTGAAATTACTTAAGGATAGAGAAATTTTATCCACAAAGCAAGTATATTTTAAGAAATTGGTTTTTTGTTATGTTGAGGGCATGTTTGACCCCTATATTAGTGCTCTACGCAAAGAACTTCAACTCTGATTCTGTGTTGAAAGGCATTATTATGCAAGCTACTAGGATTAAATGATAGTTTTCCACATTACTTAAAACAGAAACATTTCCTACACGTAATCCATCCTTCTTTCCTATTTTCCTTTTTGTTTTTCTTTTCCTTCTTTCCGTTGTTTTCTTTTTTTGACAGGGTCTTTGCTCTGGCATGCAGGCGGGGGTTCCGTGGCAACATCATAATTCACTGCAACCTCAAACCACTGGGGTCAAGTGATCCCCTTGCCAAGTGATCCTCAGCCTCCAAGTAGCTGGGACTAGAGGGTGCACACCACCATGCATGCTAGCTAATTTTTCAGTTTTTTGTAGAAACAGTCTCTCATTACATTTCTCAGGCTGGTCTGGAACACCTGGGTTCAAGCAATCCTCCCACCTTGGCCTCCCAAAGTGCTAGGATTACAAGCATGAGTCTTAGTGCCCGGCCCCAGATTTATTTTTTTGTGCTAAAACATACATAGTATAAAAGTTACCATTTCATGGCCGGGCACGGTGGCTTATCCCTGTAATCCTAGCACTCTGGGAGGCCAAGGCGGGTGGATCGCTCAAGGTCAGGAGTTTGAAACCAGCCTGAGCAAGACCCCGTCTCTGCCAAAAATAGAAAGAAATTAATTGGCCAACTAAAAATATATATATACAAAAAATTAGCCGGGCATGGTGGCATATGCTTGTAGTCCCAGTTACTCGGGAGGCTGAGGCAGTAGGATTGCTTGAGCCCAGGAAATTGAGGTTGCTGTGAGCCAGGCTGATACCATGGTATTCACTCTAGCCTGGGCAACAAAGTGAGACTCTGTCTCAAAAAAAATAAATAAATAAAATAAAAGTTACCATTACAACTATTTCTAAGTGTACAGTCTAGAGGCATTAAATACATTCACACTGTTGTATAATCACCACCATCTATCTCTAGAACTTTTTCATCATCCTAAACTAAAACTTCTACTCATTAAAAAGTAAGCCCCTATTTCCTCCTCCCTCCCACCTCTGGCAGTTTCCAGTCTACTTTCAGTCTCTGTTAAATTTTCTGCTAATGCAGTTTTTAAAATGTTTTCATATGTACAGTCAAATCTCTTAAGTTTGCCATAATGCAGTCTTTTTTGACTTTGGTACCATGCTTAGCAAGACCTAGCACACCAAGATGAAAAAAAGAATCTACTTATGTTTTCTGCTAATACTTTTATGTTTTGGTTGTTTTTATTTTGATATTTAAATATTTTATAGGAATTTTTTTGGATTTGGAGAGTGAGGACAGGGCTTTTGGTCTTTTTTACTCTAAGAGACCAGTTTCTCCTGCATTATTTTTTGAAATTTCAAAAATAATTGCATTATTTTTGTGAAACTTGTCCTTTATCATATTCTAGTTTTCCATACGCATGCTATGCTTGCTTATAACATGCATATGTATGTGTGTATATATGCACACACATATCCTTGTTAGATATGCCTGTAGATTCTGCTTGTGTGGCTTGCTCTGTCATCATGTGTGCTACTCACATGATATGCACTCCATGCCTAACCTAGACTAGCTTTCGGATTCTAAAAGCCTGGATTCCATTCCTGTTTCCATGAGCCGTATAGCTTAAAATATTATAAGTCAAGGCCCTATTTGTTGCTGTCTTTTCAGAAATTTAACTGATTCATATTTGTTTATTTCTTCGGATGTATTTTAGAATTATTTTGGCAATTTCTGCCCCCCAAAAGCACAATTGGAATTGAGTTGATTTTATAGATTAATTTGGGGGCAATTTAGCATATGTATGTTACTCTCTGATCCTTTTGAGGAAAAAGTTGTATTTTATTTTTCTTTAATGTCTTGCAGTAGAGTTTTTAATTTTCCTTCATGTTAAGTCCTGCAGTTTTCTTATTAGTGTGATTCCTGAGTGTGTTAGTATAAATCTTGAAGGGGAAAAAACAATTTAATAAAACTCTTAAAGATTGGATTATTCCAAAGGGAAACAGTGAGAAATCCCAGTTGCTTGGCAACCAAAGCCAGCCTAAATGACCTAGTTTATTCTTAGATAGCCTTCATTTCTTCCAGCACTCTTTCCATTTTGTTACTTTTGCGCAATTTTTATGCATTGATGTTTGATAAAATATAATAATTTTTCCTTTGTTCAAAGTCCTATGCCAAACCTGACATCAAAATTGAAGGTACATGTGTGCATATTTTTAAAGTACCGTATGTCTTCTTATGAAGCTGATAGATTAGTGTTTTCATTTTCTTTATATTCTGTGAATATCAAGCTATCCTAAAACATGCACATTACTTTTCCAGCTAATGGACATACTTGCTAGAAGGTTAGATGAATATTAAGTATTTTTGTCTCCCTGATTTAAACTAAAATTATAACCACAAAATTTAGATCGTATGTTGAGGTACAGCATTTGAGAAGTGGTTGTGTGAATCATGGGCGTTATTTTGTGTGTGTGTGTATGTATAAATATATATGTGCATGTGGGTGTGTGTATATATTGTAGTTTTTCTTGATCTTGTAGATGGAAGTTTATAAATTTGAAAATCTTGCTGTTCTTTATCATTGCAAAATGTGGAAAACTACTCAGATGTCTCACATTAGGGGGTGGTATCAAATTAAATAGTCAACAGTAACCAAAGACTATCATCATGAAACAAAACATAAGAAATGTAATAATTCAAAGTAGTACACAAATGGCTATGATTTTTAAAATTGCAACTGAATATAATATGTAAAAAATAAAAGTAGCTACATTAAAGTGGTAGGATTTTTTATTTTTTTGCCCAAATATTTTACTAGTATCACCTTTCTTAAATGATTAAGAAATGTATTTTATTTCAGTAATCATTAACATTGTTCTTTTCTCTTCAGTGTTCTCTCCTTTCACTTACTTCATTTCTTAAGTAATTGTTTTAAACTTTGGGATAGTCACAAACTTAGGAAAAAAGCTACCTGTACAGTACAATGAATTTTTGATTTCTCAATCCATTTGGAAATAAATTGCCAACCTGATCCTTCTTTACCGTCTGGTACTTATACTGTGCATTTCCTACAAACAAGGACATTCTTCTACCAACCAGAGTACAATAGTCAACACCAGGAAGTTAACATTGATATGTTACTTCCCTCCAGTACTCAAACACCATTCATGTTTTGCCAGTTGTCCCAATAATGTTTGTTTATAGCAAAAGGATCCAGATCAGAGTGATGTGTTCCATTTAATTGTTGTCTTTTTAGTCTCTTTTGACTTTCATAACCTTGACATTGTTGAAAATTATAGGTAATTTATTTTCAAGAGTGTCTCTCAAATTGAGAGATTCAATTCAGAGTATTTTTGACAGGAACGTCACAGAAGTAATGCTCTTTTCTTATTGCATCGTACTAGTAGCACATAATTCAGTTTGTGTGTTACTGATGATGTGCTCTTTGATTGCTTGATTGAGCTGGTTTTGTAAGTAAAGTTATTGCTTACAAATGGGGAAAAAGTATTTTGTTGAAAGGTACTTAAAGACAATGTAAATATACTGTTCTTTATCAGCTGTTAGTTTATGTCAGTGTGGACTAAAGGTTTCTTTTTTTTAAAGACAGGGTCTTGCTCTATTGCCTGTGCTAGAGTGCAGTGTCATCTTCATAGCTAACAGCAACCTCAAATTTCTGGGCTAAAGCGATCCTTCTGCCTAAGCCTCCTGGGTAACTGGCACTATGGGCATGTGCCACCATGCCTGGCTAATTTTTTTTATTTTGTGTAGGGACAAGGTCTTACCATGTTGCCCAGGCTGGTCTACAGCTCCTGGCTTCGAGCCTTGGCCTCCCAAAGTGCTAGGATTACAGGCGTGAGCCACTGTGCCCCACCCTTCATGCTGGGGGCTTCCATGTCTGTTTGGTATGTTCCTATCATTCATTGAACACTTCCTTGCTTTCTGACCAAAAAACCCCCACAGAAACAAAAATGTTTGATACTGATCTCTGCTCCAGTTCTAGAACCAGCCATTTGTTTGAGAGTGCCCTGGTTCCTTTGAGTGAAGGATATTTAAAAGCTGATCTGCCTACCACTGCTTGGGCTCTAACACGCCATGCCTTTGTCTTTAATGTTGCTTTCATAATGTCTTTTTTTCCCACCCATTGTCTTTTGAAAGTTAGGAAATAAAAATTATGTCCAAATTCTCTCTTTTTTTTCCATGTGTTTTTTTTTCTCTTCAAGTAAATTTAAGCAACTTTCTTAAATACTGTGTCATTGTGATAAGAAGGCAGGTCTTTGACTCTTGACTGATTATACGATTAGCACATGTGCATCCAGATAGAGTGAGAGAGAGAGAGTGTGTGTGTGTGTGTGTTTGTAATTTAACTATATTCATATTGGGGGATTTTGTTTATTTATTTATTTTAAATTTAATTTTACCCGGAGCCGCACCCAAGAAGCCTTGAGCAAGTGGACTCTTTATCATTTTATGCCAGCTAAATTTGAGGGTTCATATAACGCTTCTGTTTAATCAAAAGTTTTCATTTGGATTGTTCTGTAGAGAGCCCAAGCTGCACTGCAGGCTGTCAGTGCTGTCCAGTCAGGAAGCCTGGCCCTTCCTGGAGCTCCTTCCAGTGAAGGAACAATCCTACCTGGGCAGAGTCCTGTGCTCCGAATAATTATCGAAAACCTCTTTTACCCTGTTACTCTGGAAGTTCTTCATCAGGTAAGGAGGAATACTCTTATGAAAGCAGAGTTAACTGTGGCCTCTGTAATTTGATATTTTATATCTTAAGTGTTTTAGCTTGTTGCTTTTGGTTAATATATTTGTTTAAATAATGAAAAAAATCCTTACCATCCTATTACATACAAGAGACAGTATATTAGATAAAATTTTTTGACAGCCTCCTTTTCTACCTTGAATACTGATTAAAAACTGTATTAAAAATTTGATGTTCTTTTATAGCTAAACTATAAAAATGAAAATGAACAAAACATAGAATACAATGAAAAGCCCAGGTAGTAGTAAGTAGTTATAGTAGTAAGTAGAAAGTAACATCTATATGGAGTACAACTAATTTATTTCTAGACTCCTTATGTTTGAGTATTTTTAATTTAAAAACTCTAAAGAGAAAGTGTGTAATTAATCTTCATGTGTAACATCATATATCATGTTAAATATTGACTGATGCCCAACTTTACCTTCATATACTACCCATTAATATGTCTAAACTGTCTTGATAAAAGGCATTCTACCAAATCACGGCAAATGATACATATAATTCAATAACTGGAAGGTTATCTAGTTTTATAATTTTGTAGTGAATAAAACTGAAACCAAGATAATTGATGAGTATTGAATATTAAAGAGAGTAATTAAAGAGCCAGTTAGAACTCAGGTCTCCAGTGTTTTGATTTTGAATGCCTGTTACATTTTTAGTAATATTCCATGTATACATATCCACTGCATAAGCCAGCAATGAGCTTAGCCAGGGTCATGGGGTCCTGTCCTATCATTCCATTTATCATTTCCCTGAGCGCAGTAACAAGCCTTGTTTCTCCTCCAAGAGATCATGATGTCCTTCAAGTGAAGTGGACTAATTCTGAGAGTCCTCAATAGCAACTGTTGGGGATAGGACTATGTCTTTCAGGTATAGCACTCTTGTTTAACTCTCTTTCCCAATGCTAAACCAACTCCTTCCCAAGAGCCCCACATGCAGACTTCTCCCCCATTTCTGTATCCTCATTATCTAACACCCTTTGCTTATTTAATACCTATCCTTTCCATCACACACTCTCTCTCCCTCCCTCCATTCCCTCCATATTCCCCAGTTTAGACCTGTCCTTAGTTCCTTTACATGTTTTATTTCTTAGGCCTAGAATATTCTTTACCTGGGTAGTCACTTGGTTGGATCTGTATCATTCAATTCTCGGTTCAAATGTTACCTCTTTGGGGATCTTAATCTAATTACATTAACCAAGCCTCTCCCCTGGCATTTTATCCCATTAACTAAGAGGTCATATAGCATAAAAGTTAAGCATACAGGGTCTGGAGCTAGTTTGAATATTAGCTCTACCACTTTAACTGTTTTTATAACTTTGCACAAATAACTCCTTCTGTGTCTGTTTTCTTATTTTTATAATATGAAGATGTTATTTATTTTATCCATTCATTGTGTGGATTACATGAGTTGAATACATTTGAAGTACTTAGAATGGTGCCTGGTACATGTTAAGTGCTCAAGAAATGTTCTAATTAGTGAATGTTAGTAAATTGCAATGTAAGAAACTGGTCCTTGCTCTTCTAGTCTTGTGGGTCAGATATAATTTCATAAGTAATAGCATAAAATGTGATAAGTGTTGTGATTGAAGAATATATAAAAGTATGCAGTTGGTTGTACCTGTTGTAATTAATTAGCTGATTATTTTGTTATGTTCTTTGACGAAAAGTTGGCACTAGCGCAACTGCTGTCTAATATCTATAGAATCTAGTGTTCTTCCTTTATCTCGTGGTAAAGGGATTGAGAATAACAGCGGTGGAAGGTCTGCTACTTTAGGTGAGGGAAATTAGGGAAGGTCTGTCCAATCTATTGACATTTGAATAGAGGCTTGAAGGATGTAAGGATATAAGTTATAAGTGTATGTGGAAGAATAGTGATCCAGTCAGAAAGAATAATAAGTGCAAAGTCCCCAAGATGGAACTGTGCTTAATGCATTCATGAATCAGAAAGGATAGTGTCACTGAAATATAGAGAGTAGGAATGCCATAAGTGATAGCATCAGACAGGAGTTAGGAGCCAGATGATGCAAAGCTTTGCTAATCTTTTACACTGGCTAAGATGGGAAACCATTAGAGGATTTTGAACAGAGCAGTGAGATATATTATTTATGTTTTAACAGAATCACTTGTTCCTGTGTTAAGAAAAAACTATAGGGATAAGTGGAGGCTCTTATCATAGTTCAAATGAGAGATGGTGGGGGCATTGGCAGTGATGATTATGGATTTTTTTTGTTTGTTTAATTAACAGTAGGTCTTGCTATGTTGCCCAGCCTGGCCTTAACTCCTGGGCTCAGTCTATCTTCCTACTTCAGCCTCATAAGAAGCTGGGACTACTTTTAATTGTACAGTAAGTAGTTCAGTGGCATGAAGTACACTCATAGTGTTTTTCAACTATCACCAAATATTATTCTCCAGAACTTTTTTCATCTTCCCAAAGTGAAACTTCTGTACCCATTCAACAATGACTCCCCAATTCCTTCCTCCTCCCAGCCCTCCACAAACCACTATTCTACTTTCTGTCTCTATGATTTTGACTCTAGGTTCCTCATATAAATGAAATCATATAGTATTTATCCTTTTGTGACTATTATATTTCACTTGACATGATGTCTTAAATATTCATCCATGTTGTAGCATGTGTCAGAATTTCCTTCCTTTGTGAAGCATTCCTTTGTATATGCCATATTTTGTTTATTCATTCATTGATGAACACTTGGGTTCCTTCCTCCTTTTGGCTGTTGTGAATAATGCTGCTATGAACATGGGTGTACAGATATCTCTTTGAGTTCCTGTTTCCAATTCTTTGGCTATATATACCCAGAAGTGTAATTGCTGGGTTAGATAGTAAGTCTATTTGTTTTTATTTTTACTTTTTAAGAGATAGGGTCTCACTACATTGCCCAAGCTGATCTCAAACTCCTGCCCTCAAGCAATCCTCCCACCTTAGCCTTCCAAATAGCTGGGATGAGCCACCATGCCCAGGATATTTTTCAGTTTTTTGAGGAAAGATCATACTGTTTCCACAGTGGGCTACAGCATTTTACATTCCCACCAACAGGGTATAAGCATTCCATTTTCTCTACATCCTCTGCAAGACTTATTTTTTTGTTTGTTTGTTTTTTGTTTTTGAGACGGAGTCTTGTTCTGTCGCTCCCAATAGCGTGCAATGGCATGATCATAGTTCACTGCAATCTCAAACTCCTGGGCTCAAGCAATCCCCCTGCCTCAGCCTCCCAAGTAGCTGGGACTACAGAGACACACCACCACGCCCGGCTAATTTTTTATATTTTTGGTTAGAGACAGGGTCTCTCGCTCTTGTTCAGCCTGGTCTTGAACTCCTGAGCTCAAGTGATCACTTTGCCCAGGCTTTTTCTTTCTTCCTTTCCCTTTCCCTTTCCCTTTCCCTTTCCCTTTCCCTTTCCCTTTCCCTTCCTTCCTTCCCGTTCCCCTTCCTCCCTCCCTCCCCCTCCCCCCCTCCTCCCCCTCCCTCCCTCCCCTCCCTCCCCCACTCCCTCCTCCCTCCCCTCTCCTCTCTCTCCTCTCCTTCCTCATTAATGGATTTAAAGGGGTATCTCATGTACTTTTGATTTGCATTTCTCTAGTGCTTAGTTGATATCGAGCATCTTTTTGTGTGCTTATTGGCCATTTGATTATCTTCTTTGAAGAAATATTTCCTCAAGTCTTTTGCCTATTTTTAAATTGTGTTGTTATTCAGTTATAGTAGTTCATAGTAACCCTTTATCAGATCCATTGTGTCCTGTTCTGTAGGTTGCCTTTCACTCTGTTGATAGTGCCCTTTCATGCACAAAGGTTTTTTTGTGTGTGTGTTGTTTTTTTTTTTTGAGACAGAGTCTCACTCTGTTGCCTGGGGTAGAGTGCTGTGGTGTCAGCCTGGCTCACAGCAACCTCAAACTCCTGAGCTCAAGCAATCCTCCTGTCTTATTAGCCTCCCAAGTAGCTGAGACTACAGGCTGGGACTACAGGCATGCACCACCATGCCTGGCTAATTTTTTTCTATATTTTTAGTTGTTTGGCTAATGTCTTTCTATTTATAGTAGAGATGGGGTCTCACTCTTGCTCAGGCTCATGTCAAACTCCTGAGCTCAAATGATCCACCCACTTCAGCCTCCCAGAGCGCTAGGATTACAGTCGTGAGCCACCGTTCCCAGCCAGCACAAAGGTTTTTGATTTTGAGGTAGTCCAATTTATCTGTTCTTTTCTTTTGTTGCCTGTGCTTTAGGATATTCTTGAGCATTCTTTCTGATAATTAATTGCCTATTAAGGACACTTATACATAGTGGTTAATAACACCAAAATCTTAGCCTACATTGGGAATACTTTTTATTCTTAGGAGCAGGACACAGTTTCTCCTCATTAAGATGTAAATTTAAAATGGCGTGACAAATGGGAACAAAATGTATTGTTCTATTCTCCCTGTTTAGTCTTTCAGAAATGAGTTACTGGTACCTCTAGCCGCAAACTTGTGAGGTGCATTGTTAACTAGGGATCTATCCAGAAGCCTTCCCCTCACTCTATTCCTTTTCTCTAAAGACTTCAGAGAGGCCTTCCTTGACCACCCTTGTCTTATACTCCTGTCCACTCTCATCCCTATCTTTCTTTTTATTTATGTATTTATTTATTTTTGAGACAGAGTCTCACTCTTTTACCCGAGCTAGAATGCTGTGGCATCAGCCTAGCTCACAGCAACCTCAAACTCCTGGGCTGAAGCAGTCCTACTGCCTCAGCCTCTCGAGTAACTGGGACTACAGGCATGCACCACCATGCCCAGCTAATTTTTTACATATATATATTTTTAGTTGTCCAGCTAATTTCTTTCTATGTTAGAGACAGGGTCTAGTAGAGACAGGGTCTCGCTCTTGCTCAGGCTGGTCTCGAACTCCTGAGCTTGAATGATCTGCCTGCCTTGGCCTCCCAGAGTGCTAGGATTACAGGCGTGAGCCACCATGCCCAGCCTGTCTTTATTTTTATTCTTAACACTTTTTTATGACCAGACATTATGCCATTTGTTTGTTTATTGTCTGTCTTTCTTAGTAAGGGACTTTGTCTCTATTTTGTCCACTGTTGACTTCCCAGTGCTTAGAACAATGTCCTTTGAATATTTGATGCATTTATAGAGCAGCCTCTAGTTAAACATCTTCTAGTTTCTGTGTACAAAAATCTTAAGAAGTAGATGCTTATTCCACTTTCATTCATATGCTTTGTAACACCACTATCCAATACCATCAATTAATTTCTTTTTTTCTTTTTCTTTTTTTTTTTTTTTTTTGAGACAGAGTCTCGCTTTGTTTCCCAGGCTAGAGTGAGTGCCATGGCGTCAGCCTAGCTCACAGCAACCTCAATCTCCTGGGCTCGAGTGATCCTTCTGCCTCAGCCTCCCGAGTAGCTGGGACTACAGGCATGCGCCACCGTGCCCGGCTAATTTTTTATATATATATTTTTAGTTGGTCAATTAATTTCTTTCTATTTTTGGTAGAGACGGGGTCTCGCTCAGGCTGGTTTCCAACTCCTGACCTCGAGCCATCCGCCTGCCTCAGCCTCCCAAAGTGCTAGGTTTACAGGTGTGAGCCACCACGCCCGGCCCCATCAATTAATTTCTATTGTAGCCTCCTATTTTAGTATTGTGCCATTTATACAGGATGTAAAATAGGCTAAATATTTGAGTGCTTATTGTGTGTCAGGCACTGTTCTAAGACAAGTATGGGTATTGAAACATGAACATGTTAGGCTTGATTTAAGTCATTTTGGTACCAACAGTTTTAAAGAGAAAATTATTTTCATTTAAAAATGTGATCCATGAACCAATTGGTGTTTATGAAGGTACATTAGTTTAATATTTTTCTTAGATGTAACCTTATGTGAACTTTTTCCCAGATATTTTCTAAATTTGGCACAGTCTTGAAGATTATCACCTTTACAAAGAATAATCAGTTTCAAGCCTTGCTTCAGTATGCTGACCCAGTGAATGCACAGTATGCCAAAATGGTAATTATAATCTATATTCCATTTTTCAGTTGTCACTCACTTCAGTGATAGCTAAAGGACCTACCGTGCTTTTTTACTTATTGTAAAAATACATAGCATAATATTTACCATATTAATCAATTTTAAGTGTATAGTTCCATGTGTTCCTTTTTCTAAGCTAAAAATTACTTCTTCCTTCAATATGAAATGGTTTAAAATCTCCTCTCACTTCTTAGATCTCTGAGACTCATTCCTGTTTGTCATGTTTAAAGTCTAGAATTGAGCACAATACTCCTGATAAAATCTGACTAATAAAGTAGAATTACCTTTACCCTTGTACCTTCATTTATTTCTGTTAAATTGGCCAAAGATTGATTTTACCATATTTGCAGCCATATTCAGTGTTTATTCCTATTGAGCTCTAAATTGGTGAAGACATTAAATCATAGGAAATATGCTGCTGTCAATTCATGTTGCCTTTTTTTTTTTTTTTTGAGACAGAGTCTCCCTTTGTTGCCCAGGCTAGCGTGAGTGCCATGGCGTCAGCCTAGCTCACAGCAACCTCAAACTCCTGGGCTCAAGCGATACTACTGCCTCAGTCTCCCAAGTAGCTGGGACTACAGGCATGCGCCACCATGCCTGGCTAATTTTTCTATATATATTAGTTGGCCAATTAATTTCTTTCTATTTATAGTAGATATATGGGGTCTCACCCTTGCTCAGGCTGTTTTCAAACTCCTGACCTTGAGCAATCCGCCCGCCTTGGACTCCCGGAGTGCTCGGATTACAGGCATGAGCCACTGCGCCTGGCCTATGTACACAAATACTTGACTTTTTTTGGCAAGATACAAAACTTCACTTTCAGTTTGGTTATATATTAGACGCATCTCCTATTGAGATCTACCCCTGACCCTAATTTTATCTTGTAGCAGTCTCTGAATCATTTCTAATTTCTTCTCAAAGATAGGGACTAAGTTTTATAGTACTTTTGTATACCACATAGTGTCTGGCACTTGATAAGGAATATGCTGTACCCTCTATCTGTGTGTATTATTTGGCACCTTCTGATGGCATAGCTTGTCAGTGACTTATTGTAAATCACAGGGTTTTTTTTTATTTTTATGTGCTTTGTTTTCTGGTATCTGTTTTTATAAATTCAAGCACTTGTGGAAGTCATAAGTGTCCACAAATACCCTTTGGTAAGTTTTTATTCTTTCAAAGGGAGGGGTTGCTAATCTTTGATTACAAATGACTCCAAATTTCTCACAGCTTATTATTCAAAATATAACAAAAATAAATTTACAAGCAAAAAAAAAAAAAAAGTGAATATTTTATGTATTGTAGCCATGACAAGTACCACTTAAAAAGGCTTTGTTTCGTCCTAACCTACATAAACTATATTAATAGTAAAATGAATTACAATAAGATGTAAAGTTAAAATATTTTTAAACATTTACTATAGGCAAAATGATCATGATGACAGCTAGCATTTCTATAATATCCAACAGTTTTTCAAGCTTTTACATGTCTCATCTCATTTGATATTACTATGGAAAAGGTAGGCATTGTTAGTCTTAGTTTATAGATGAAAACTGAGACTTAGATATTTCTTTTTCTCCCTTAATATCATAGTAACAGAGGTAAAAGCAAATCCAAATCTTTGGCTTTTAGTCTAGTGCTCTTTGCTTTATGCCTGATTGCCACTCTGTGTCAAAGTAAAGGCTACTTGATTTATCAGTGTTATCTTGCCAAACCAGTTCCTTTTTTACATGCTTTACTTTAGGCTCTGGATGGCCAGAATATCTATAATGGATGCTGCACTCTGCGTATTGACTTCTCCAAGCTCACCAGCCTTAATGTGAAATATAATAATGACAAAAGCAGAGACTTCACTCGTTTAGACCTTCCTACTGGTGATAGCCAGCCATCCCTTGAACCCCCTATGGCTGCTGCTTTTGGTGAGTAGCTCCTTTTTGGGTCACAAAGCAAGTTTTCCAAAGTTATAAGTTTAATTTATGAATCCATGTATGTGAGTTCACCTTTTTCTTCTTCATTCTCTCATGATTTCTAAAAGAAAGCAAAATCATAGAACAAAATGTGCCCATTAATTAATCTTAGTATTAGCAGTAATAGTGGCAAATCAAGTGGATATCTGAAATTCAGTTACAAATTTATTTTCTAACACTAATACTACTCATTTTTTTATAAGTTACACAATCATTTGCTTCAATTAATAGTCTTACAGCGTTAATATTGATTTTAAATATGCTAGTTTATAGGCAACAGAATTTTGCCATATGTGCTCTTGAGAAAATACCTTCCCCTTTTAAAGTAGTGATATTTTAAATCAAGAGCCTAATTTAATGTATGTTCTTATTGAAAGAGAGTTTATTTTATTGTAAAGATTTTGACTAACTATATCTTAAGTTTGTGTGAAGTTGCATTTTACAATGTAAAAAATACAGCTTTCTAAATTATCTCTGCAAATGTCGCTTTGAAGAGCTTCCTTCTTCTTATATTTAAAAGTAAACCTTTGTATAAAGGAAAAACAATGGATGGCTCAGTTTGAATTTATTATTAGGTTAATATATGTTACTTTTTAGTGTGGTTTTATTATTAAGGTATTAAGTTTTATCCTTTGTGATTGATTTCCTTTCCCAGATAATGCCATAAAATATTGCTAATTGAGCCTTTAAGTAGTATTTAGTGCACTGTCTTTTTACAGGTGAGAAAATTAAAGAATTAAAATAAATAAATGGTTGTCTAAATTTTCCAGAAAATATTCAATTACTGGAATAAGTGCAGTTCTGCATTTGATAGCTAAGTTTAGGAAAAGTCCCAATTTCTATCACCTGTTATTGAAATAGTAATGATATAATGACCTTTGACTCTGCCAATTCAGACATACTAACTTAGGAGCTGGTAACAAATATGAAACATAAAATTTTGGCTAGGTGCAGTGGCTCATGCCTATAATCCTAGCACTTTCAGAGACCAAAGATGGAGGATGCTTGAGATCAGAAGTTTGAGACCAGTCTGAGTACCATAGCAAGATCCTTTTTAAAAAAATAGAAAAATTATTCTGGGCATGGTGGCTCCACCTGTTGTCGCTGCTACTCATGAGGCTGAGGCAGAAGGATTGCTTGACCAGAGTTTGAAGCTGCAGTGAGCTGCCACAATGCCATTGCACTCTACCCATGATGACAGAGCAAGACTTTGTGTCAAAAATAAATCATAAAATAAATATTTACACATAGTGAGAAACACTTGTGGTAGGAAGGGAAAACTTTTCCCTTCCCCTAACCCCATGAAAGTTTGTTGAAAGATCAACTCCTAAAAAAAGATGATTACCCAGTATCTCAATGGGGCCTGGAAATTTATATACCCTCCTTTTAGAGGGGAGGGGGAAGTATATGAGGAATATATTAAAAAGTAATTTGTTTAGGGCCAATAAATGGTTGCCAAGAGAGTGAATAGATACTTGGGAAAATGAATGGAATAGGTATGGGACAGATTGACTTGTAAATTAACTAGAGACAGGTTATTATATTAGAATGATTTGGGCCAGGTCTTGTTTTCTTGATCTTCTATGATATAATGACTTTGACTCTGCCAATTCAGGATTTGCTTGAATTCCATTCAAGATGGAAGCAATCCTTCCATCTTGGTCTCTGAAAGTGTAGGATTATAGGCATGAGCCACTGCACCTAGCCAAAATTTTTATGTTTCATATTTGTTACCAGCTCCTAAGTTAGTATGTCTGATTTGGCAGAGTCAAATTTCTTCCATATATTGAGATAACAGGAGAAGGGAAATCAATTGTTCTTTTTGATGGGTCCAGCTGGATTTGTAGATCGGGGAAAGCCTCTTCCAAAGTCTCTTGATCTTTAGGATTTAATTCAAAATACTCTTTACACCAAGGAGTCATTTCGGGGTAAAATTTCTGAGCTCCTTCACATCTCTCTACCCCTCTTGGTCAATTGTTTCCTACTCTCCTTGCCTCAAGTACCACAGTCCAAAGTTTCATAATAATACTCTTTTGTTTCTGGTTTTTTTTGTTTTTTGTTTTTAACTACTTACTCATTGTATAGCCTAAATGCAACTTTGAATTTTTTTCAACTGTATTTAGAACTTTATAATGGATCATGGTATTTTTATTCTGTGACTCTATTTCTTCCATCTGAATTAGTCTTTTGTGATTCATCCATATTCATACATGTAGTTATCACTCATTCATTCTCATGTGGTCAAGCCTATAAATATCTCATTGGATGAATATACTGTAATTGTTTATCCATTTTACTGTGGTAGATATTTGGGTGGTTTTAGTTTGAGGCAATTAGGAATAATGCTACTCTGAACATCCTTGTGTGTATCTCCTGGATAATTTTCTCTAGGAAGCACACATAGGAAAGGAACTGTGGAGTTATAGAGTCTGTATTTCTTCAGTTTTTATTTAATAAGACATTTGTTGTAAAGTGATTGTACCAATATATAACGCATTGTGGGATGTTTTAATTTTCTTATTCTGATATATGTGTAATGATATGTTAGTGTTGTGTATTACAATCGGGATTGTCCCAAGGCGCATCAGAGAGAATGAGGACAAGTGATTTGAGAAGGAAGGGAGGGTTATTAATTTGCTGGCAAATGAAGAGTGGCAGACTTTTGTCTTAAAGTACCATTTTCCTATCTATAAGCAGAAACACAGAGCTTTGAAGACAATCTCATGACCTCCACTGGACAATACCGTTTAGCCATCATCTCCTGTGGTACAAAGAACAAGGACACTTCTGCCCACTGATTACTGCCTTGGGCAGGGATGCGGGTTTTAATTGCCAAAAAAGAAGGGGGGGGGGGGGGGGGGGAGGTTTTAAATAGACAGCTTGTAAAACAGTTTTACTTTTCTAGGCCGTTCCCTGTGTTCAATTGTAGTTGTTCACTTATATTTTCCTGATTACTATGAGGTTGAATGTCATTTTATTTATTTACCATCCTCTCTTAAGAATTTTGTGTTCAATCTCCTTTCTTGCTGTTTTGTTCACTCCTTTTTCTTGTTCAACTCTTTTTCTGATTTCTGAGAATCATTTGTCTTACCTTTTTTCTTTTGTAGGAATTCGTTAGCTCTTTGAGGTGCAGGTCCATTATTTTTTTATGTGTTACAAATAGTTTTCCCAGTGTTTTGGGTTGATTGTTTATTCTCTTCATGATATTTATGTAGTATTTATTTTCTTTATATTTGTGCCTTATTTAAGAAATACTTTGTTATCCTGTGGTTCAAAGAATATCTGCTGTATACTAAGTTTATAGTATTTTAGTAGCTTTTTGTTTGAATTTAATTTAAGTTGCAGGAATGTACAAATAACCCTCCTTATATCTGTCATTTGATTCCTAATTATAAATCGTGACACATTTTATCATCTCTCAGATTATATATGTTGTGTATGTATATACATGCAATAAATATATGGATTTGACATTCATGTAGATTAGTGTGTCAATGTTTTATTTTTCAATCCTGAGCCATTCAAGAGACATGATGCCTTTTACTTCTAAATTCATTGTGTATTTACTAAAGAATACATTTTATTAGAATACAGTTTAATGTTATCAAAATTCAGAATCAAATCTATACAGTATATTATTGTCTAATCCATAGACCTTTTAAAAATTGCTAGTTTGTAAAATAAAATCTTTCATAAAAGTAAAGTTCAGACTACTTATCAGACCAATTTATTTCATGTTTGCTTAAGAGTCCTTTAATTTGGTATATTTCCTTATTCTGTTTTCCTGCCTGTTGTATTTTTAAAGAGTTCAGGACCAAGTTTATTTTGTAGAATGTCCCTCAATATAGAGTCTGATTTTCTCATCAGCGTAATGCATTTTGGGCAAAAATAGCGACAGAATAATGTGTCTTTCTCAGTTCATATATTAGAGATACCAATGATATCAGTTAATCCTGTTT